TCCAACTCAAAGTTCTATCGATTCCCTGTGTTCATTTTGTTAGAAATGTGACTTGAAATCTAAAAATGTAACATAAGATGCTATTTTGCATATTGTCAAACCTAAGTCTGGGAGGGCAGCAAAAACATATCTCACTTGTTTTTGGATTTAAAGTTGTTGATAATTACATTTTTTTCATCTATTTGTTCACCATTTGTTAGTGTGTAGGCTATGCATAAACATATTTTGAGACTTTGTAGACAGTAACAATGTTTATATATGTATTTATACATATTTATACACAAATGAAAGAATGACAATGTATGATTAGTATGTATTTGATATTTTTATATTATGTGGAAGAAACACCTTCGTTTCGGTTGATTATATATATTTCCGCTGAAGCAGTTTAAGTAAACATGATGATACAGGATAATTAATATACATCTAGTGTAGACAATTCCTATGTGAAATTTCACTGTCCCTTAAATTGTACTTATAGTTATACAATTCCTTATTGTTTTCTTAGAATGTTTTCATTAGAATGAATAACACCTATACCAACACAATATGTTTATTTATTCAATTCTTTTCCTCCCACATGTTTTTCTTAGTTTTATTTATTCAATATAAAAGTAAGAATTAATTTGTTCTCTTTATTTCTGTAATAAAGCAGCATTTAATTGTGTTAACTTACAAAATATTCCTGTTAAATATTGCACTTCTATTTAATAGAGGAATACATATAAAATATAAATAAGGCATGGAATAGGAAAGTACTTTTGTTTTGCAGATATTTATTGTTTAATAACATAAACTGATAATACTATTAGACGAAAATTAATTAAGGTGGACCAAAGTAAAGCATTGGACAACCTGTACTTGAATCTTGTAATGTTATAAGTGGTCCTTTGCAGTGCCCCTGGTGTTTTGCTAGTGCAATGTAAAACATGGATGTTTTGCAGATGCGGCATTGTTACATTCTATTCATCTCTAATGGGAGTGTCCCTGGTGGCCGATAGGTGGTGCTTTCGCACCCACCACCAAGTCAGACTCAATGGACTTTCAATCAATGCTTCTCTATGAGAATCATTTAATAGAAGGACAAGCCAAAGAGGCATGAAGATAAAACAGGAGGCAGATGACTCAGATGCAGTGAGTGAGTCTCCGTACATAAATAAAGTAAGTTAAGATAAGTAATTGTAATGTTTATATACTTATAAGGGAGTCACAACAATACAAACAAACTATCTGAATAAAAAGAGGATTTAATATTCTCCACTACAGTTGTCCGATAAAGGTCAGTGTGAAGCACACAGAAGGAGTGCCATATATTAGCCAGCTCTCTGGATAGACCTTCTTCAATCTACCACAAACCTTTTGCTAGGTTCAATGTATTTCTATAATGGGGAAAGCAATAATTGAGGACGTTAAATAGCAACATAAAATAGGTGAGGTGGGATCCCTTACTCAAAAAAGGTTTGCCGCAACTCCAAAAATAATGAATTTGACTGAGAGACTGAATCAGGACTAATAGGATTAAGAATTAACTACTTTTCCCAAATATTCAAAAATATAACCAGAAAAAAACACAGCGGTCCGCACAAATGGGCAAATCCAAACACTCCACAAATGAAAAAAAGGTAATGAAAAAGCACTAGATGTGGTGCGAAATGCGTGCAGGACATCACTTACTGTTTTCAGGGTGGTCTTCTTAGGTGGTCTCTCTCCTGAACAGTAGCTGTGGGTAGCCCATTCACTTGGTACGTTTTTTTTTCTATGGATACTGTGTTATTTTACACACTTGATACAATTTTGTACATATAATATATTTGAACTACCTTAGCATAGACGAGGACTGCTGTTACAGTGTTATGCCATGTGTATTTATTTCTATTACTTTTTTCAATAAATGTGCTACTTTTTCATTACCTTTTTTCATTTGTGGAGTGTTTGGATTTGCCCATGTGTGAGGACCGCTGTGTTTTTTTCTGGTTATACATTATATAGTAGCATACAAAATAAATGTGGTACACACGTCTTTCCTCTGTGAGTGATTTGTTTTCAAGGTCCCCATCCTTCAGCCACTACCCTGCGGAATGGGGTAAGTATATACTGGCACACAGTTTCCAGATGTCAAATTGGTGTAGCACAAATCTAATTTTTCTCATTTCAAGCATCATGGCATGTTGTCATACTTTGGGACTCTCTGTAATACATCAGCCACCAGATAGAGAGCCAAGAAAAGTGATCTGGTCTAAAGGAATGAGATTCGAGGATGAACTTTATCTCCTGATTCCCCCACTATTCCACGAAGTAGAACTTAGAGCAAATGATGTTTGGAGGCCCAGTTGAAACTTCCTATGAATGACCCCATTGTTTCTTTGCTTTACTTACAAGGTTCTTCACTAAAGTGAGACTTCGACATGAATTCAAATTGAATTTCAAATTTGAGGTGTTAACAGCCAAACTTCTCTAAATCAGCTATGCTTCCAGATAATCTACTTTGACCTTAAATTTAAAATTCACTTTGAATTCCCACTTTAATAAGTAATCCTGTTAAACTCTTCATGCCAGGTGATAATTTAACCCCTTTTATGTTTTGAAAAATATTACCATAGCATTTATTTCAAACACTAAATACAGAGCCACTATATAAATATAAATGTAGGCGAAAACAGTATTTTTGAATAGATCTCTGTTCAGAGACACAAAGGAACTGGAATGGAAATTCTAACAATACAAATTTATACAAATCCCAAGAGAATGGTAAGGAATTTCTATATATGAGTATAATGCCCATATACAATAGTGAGGTTACACTATACAGAGATTTCTAAAACTCTATAAAATCTTACTAATAATTCATGTTTTGTGCTGTATGGTTTGTGCATTCTGACTGTTACACTGTAACAATACTGTGGGGTTTTTTTTCTATTCAAACTTGTTTAGTGCATGGGATAATGGAAGAGACACCCGCTATTACCTGTTCTTTGCAGTCATTTCTAGACTGTATAAATGATTTAACCTTTTATTAAATTTTCAAAAAGAAATTTGTCTTCTGTCTTGACAAAATAGAAGTACTCATATGCTGCACCAAATTCATTTTTATCTCTCAATATAAATGCAGGGTAATCCACTAAACCGAGCATTCCATGGGAATTCATAGTGAGTTTTAATTGTAAGGTCAAAGAGGTTGTACTGAAAGCACAGCTAACGTAGAGAATCTTTCAGTTTAGCCAATTTGGTATGAAATTTGAACTTTGCTTTGAATTATCAAAATGCACGTGGTCATAAAAATGTGGTATTTAATACCTTTTATTTAAATCAGTATATGTTAAGTAAAATTTAGATGATCATTTTTAGTTTGCTTGGTAAAATGTGAAATGATTTTATCAATTTCTAAGAACGTGTGTAGCCAGGACAACGTTCAGATACAAAATGTTATGAGTGCTTTTCAGGCATTATAATGAACATATAGAATAATGTATTCTATAGAGGGCAATATCGTTAGACATTTAAAATGACATTAAGGTTTAGCTAAACAGTGTACTTCTAGCTGTGTGTCAAATAAAGGAAATGCTTTATTCAGCTTTTGCTTAGCTATGAAACGACTGAAACTGCAGAGAGACTTTTTTCCTGGTATTCCTGTATACCATGTAATATGTATAATTACCAATACATTTTCCCCTGAAACATTAATATTTTCTTGATTTGAAGCTGCAAATGGTAGGGTGGGTGCAGAACGGGATAAGGCCCCATTGAATTGTGCAATGCTCTACTTTAAATATTTTGTACCCTGTTTTCGGCAAGTTTGTCTTTTTTTAAATGTCATTTAAGTTTTGGCCACAGTTTAGATTATATCACAAAATACATTTAAAGGACATTTGCTTATTGTTCTAACCATGCATTGTATTGTAATTACATTTTAATTAGATGATAGACTTGCTAAATCACCATTTGTATAATTTCTGAGTCTTTTGTTGAATGATACATTAAATACAATACCATTCCCTCCGCATATTAACTAAATGAATATATATATATATATATAGTGGTGGTAGCAGATGAACCGTTTATTTGATTATGTGAGAGCCAGAAGAAAGTTAGTTTTGAAAACAAGTCATTTATTGGTCTGATATGAAGCAAAACTCATTATATAGGACCGAAGGCTACTTGCTGTGGAGAACATGGAGACTGTGATTTGAAATTAACTTTTTATTATGTTATTTTATTATTATTATTGCATTATTTCAATACAATTCTTTTTGATAGGATCCTTCCTATATGTTCTTCGGACATGTATCAACATTTTGGTGAATGTACTTTGGACACAGCTGGCCAATGTGTTTCAGTAGTTTAGCGCAGTGACATATAACTAGGAAACCAGGTTCGAAGACATCCTCACCAGCAAGTGTCCATAGGGAAGACACCTAATATAAATATCTGCCTATCTCAAATCCTCTTTTTGATTGTTAGCTTGCTTAAGCAGGGCTTTCCTCAATTCTTCTCCTTTCTATAAACAAGTGTAATATGTTGACACTATATAAATAGTAATGTAATGTGTGTTGCACTAGTGTAAAGGAGGTTTCTACAGACCAAGCTTAGTTAGGTGATACTAATTATAATGCAGTATGGTTTGGTGACATAATTAGGCCTTGGAAGTTCACAGGATGCTGGGATAGTGTACTGTAACTCAGCACCCTCACAGCTAGACAAAGTATTTAAGACACTCCAAATAATTTGGTAGGCAAATAAAAATGGATTTCAATTAAATTGCTTGTAAAATATCTTATAAGATGGCTGATGTATGAGAGGCACTTCTGCAAAAATGAAAATAGGACACCGTTCATCTTTGCTACAGTACTTTGGTAGTGAATAGCTGACTTTTGTATATTTCTGACATGTCTTACAGATTATTTTTCTTGATATTTTTTTTCCAATAAGCAAAGATTACACAAAATTAATAACAAATTAACCATTTTAATTTATTTATAGTTTTTGTATAAATATCCAGGTAAGTGATATGTGATGTTAGAAATGCTAACCTTTTTATATTTTGTATTTTCTGAATTTATTCAGAATTATTTCATGTATTTTTTTTAATTGCTTGACTCATCATAAGAGAGCACATCCACACGTTTTTTTTGTTTTATTTCTACATAGCAGACATCGTAATGAAATGTAAGCATGTTTTCCAAACAAGCAAATTAATTCCGCCTCCCTCTTGTGTTTTCTTCTCATATGTACCAAAAAATATAAAACTTTAATGTGATTAAAAAAGTCCAGGTCTCATTGCAGAATTACTTTTTTACTGTACATGTTGTAGCAAAAAATGATAATTCTTTTCACATGAACGTCATATTCTAAAACTCCAAATAGGAAACATGACGATACAAGATAAGTACACAGCCAAGTCACAATATAGCTCTCCTCTCTTTTATGTTTGTGATAAAAAAAAATTATACATTATATTCACCTTGTTAGAATTTCTGTACAAAATGTTCAGTTATGCGAATGATCAGATAAATTGTAGAAAGAAATGAACACAGAGCTACGGAAGTCCGTGACTGCATAGAGTACTTTTCCACCAGTCACAATAAAGTCATTTTAATGGGAATGGTGATGGACGAACCAAAAATCCATAAAAGTCCTTCGAAAAAACGATGGTACTCTCCGGGTAATTTTTTAACTAGGAAGTGCAAGCCGTCAAGGATATCCTGCTACTCCCAGTCGAAACGCTTGATTGTGTTGCTGACATCTGGAATGACAATTTTATCTTGTCATTTCTCATTAAATTCTGAGCACTTCTCATTTATTTCTGGCAGTAACCTCAGAGGAACATTTTATACTTATGTACTGGGAAAGTATAATAGAATTTTTGGAACCACTATGAAAATACCCCTTTTAATAAAAATGCATGCTTTTAGTTAAACAATAGTAATCTTGGGAATGTGGCATAAAATAAATGTAAAACAAAAAATCTATAAATCAATGGGTCAACAATAAAAAAACATGAATGTACTTTTAACCCTTTTAACCCTCTAAATGTTGCCATCTGAATATATATTGTAATTCTACTTTTATAATTCATTTCATAATATGATGCCCAAGAACTTCATTTTTTTTCCTCCACACCACACATCAATGATATAACATATTAATTTCTTAAAAGTTAACCCTATGAACTTCCCTCATACCTGTCTGCTAAGAGGCATACAGAAGCACTGATGAAAAATAAAAAAACAAAAAAAAACCCAACAACAAAAATAAGTAAATAGACTATATATCACTCTCTGACTTTATTCTTTTGAAAAAATAAATGTAAAATAATACGGTTTCTGGCATGTTTATTAGTTAATTTAAATAGCTATCTCAAATGTTACAGGAATAAATTAACGAAACAAATGAGTAAAATAAATTAATAAAAAAATAAACAGTTAATGTGCCCACAAATGATGTAGAATGAGGATGATTGACTTGTTTCATCACTTCACCGATGCCTCCAGGGTCCTTGAACTGCTGAACTTTGAGCTCGGGAATAAAAATCCCTTCTTCAGTCATCTCCTTTCCTTGAGTGTATCTGATAAAGAGCACTTAGACTAAAATATGTGGATCTTATCTGTTTTGTTGAACAGTCCACTACAGCCAATGCTTAGCACAACTGCAAGTTTCTGTTGTACCTGCTGTCTTTACCCATCTCTGATTCCAGAGATCTAGTAATAAATTTTCATGTAACATTGTATTGTACTCTATACTTGCCAACATTAGGCAATTTTATAGAAATAAGATAAGAATGGAGAAATGTATTTACACTGTACTTTCCATTACCCATTCTGAGCTGTCATAAGTACCCTTAGTTGCATTCCCTGTAAATTCATTGTCATCATATTGTAATAACATGCCATTAACTGAAAGGCTTCTCCTAGTCCAAATGTTTGTAATCTTTCTTGGGTAACTACAGCATTGTGTTGTGGCAAAGTCCCCCATATCAAAAGAATGGCTACGTTTTGTTTTGCCCTCCAGGGGTAACATAAGGAGGCTATGGACTTTGGACTCTTGGTGGCCCAGCAAAGGCTCTTTGTCTGACAGGTGGACTGTAGTTGTAGTCCTGGAGTCCACAGTGTCCTCCTTTTTCTGACACTTTAGTTCCAGGGAGGCAAATGCTCCCATTAGTCTATCAATGTTGTGTTTAGATCTGGAGGCAGATCGCCACTTATTAGACAAAGTGCTTTGAGTACTCTGTAGACTATCGTCATCACAGTCTGGGCTATTCACAGAGCTAGAAGAGGATGAGACACTACTGTGCATTGAACCACAGTTGAATTCCATTAGTTCATTTCTCACCACCACTTTTGGATTGACCTGAGGTGGAACCCCATTTTGTACTGTATTTGCTCCATTAGTCTGAGAATAGACATTGCTGACATTGGCCATCTTCCCCTGGGAATTGTTGCAAATTTTATATCTTACCATTAATATAACAATGAAGATCAGCAATGTAGCAACTATGATGCCTCCAATTACTAGAATCATTGTGCCCCCCAAGAATTGGCTGTGCATGGACTGGCACTGTTGATAGTCCTCTAGGGTAAAGAACTGGGCACATCCCACTATGTTCGTAGCTGTGAGGGTTGTTGCAGTATCATCCCAAATGGCCAACACGCAGAGGTCATAAGCGGTCCCAGATACAAGGTTGTTCACGACAAAGGCTTTGTTTGAAGCAGGGATCATCCTTAAATAAAACACAAACAGAAACTGTGAACTATATTGAAACATAAAGGAAGTAGTACAATTGAAATTCTAGAAGCTGATCAATCCCTATGGCAACCAATTATATCAAAGGAACTTTCCAATGGCATCACTGTTGACTGTTTAACTTTTAGAGCTTGTTCCTACAATCCCCTTTTACTCATAACCTTCATTATGCATTATTTAAATTACAAACATTTACTAGTCACATGGTAAAATATAACCCATACTCCTTTATTACACAGTTTTTTTTTTACATATATATATTTAAGAACCTGAAAATGATTATATTCTTATAATGTCCAAACATATGTGAGCCCAATGTAAAAGCATATTTTCTATGTTATTTATTTAAAGTCAGAATATTCATTTAGGACAAAATAAAACGTTTGCGTATAGATTGCTGTCTACAAATACCTTCATTTCATTCATCCCTTTAATAGATATTGAGAGGTGCTACATATTATTTACATTCTTGAATGTATCATGTGAAGAAATATTGTGAGATATAGAATAATAGCATAATAATAGCAATGCAATATTACCAACAGATTCAGAAAAATAATAGCAGTAGGACAAGTATCAGTTATATAAGACAATAGATAAGCAAAACTATCAAATTTGGGAATTTAGACGAAAAACACAAGCATAATGTATACATATTGACTGTATATGTATTATTCTAAAATCAGTCTAGACTAGACATATATTTTTAAAGGGTTCTTGCAGCACTCACATATAGCCTGATTTGTCTTAAGGACCCATCCGAATTCCTAGTAATGCATCGGTTTTAGGCGCAATACTTATTAAGTTACACTGAACCCTAAACAAAGTAGGAATACATCTTCATCGTAACTGGAATAGACTGGCTAGAGCTTCATTGGTGGAAAAATATAAACAGTTCCTCTGTACATTGAGTAGCAGTATGGGAGCAGAAATACAAAGTGATTTTCTGTTTGATAAACGTTTCTTGAACACATAGTTTATGTATATAATGCTTCTTTCAACATTAACTAACACATCATTAATAGTTTTAAAAACACAAACACTGGGGTAGTTGGTAAACCCACAAATATGATTTAATTGTATAAAATATTGCCCGATGTATGAATTTCCTATCTAACCCAAGGAAATTACCCTGATTTATTGAACATGTGGCTTTTTTGCTGAAACCGCAGAAATATCTTAATAATTTTTCTTATTTTTTTTATTTATTTAAAACTATAGAGTATAAATGTACGTTGGAAGCTTCCAGTTTAGGCTTTTTTCAGTTTGAAGATGAAAGAGCTTGTTACAAAGAGTTGTGCACAGAATAAAAATCTGCAAAAGTGCAAAGTGCTTTGAAAGAAAACTAAAGGGAAAAGAAATAAAATTTAAACATCCGAGAGTCTCTACTGGAATTATTTCCAATGAAAATTATTCATTTTCAAATAATTTATTATAAAAATGCAGTCACATGATACGCCTGATGTGACAAATACTTATATTAATACAGTGAATATTCACAAGCGTAGAAGTTCCTTCAGAGAAATTGTGCTCTGTAAAATTTCTATAATACATTGAAAACCTACCGTACTATACTGTTACAACTAAAAACTATTTAATAAACAAATGAGAACTCTGAATCAGAAATGATCACCGTAGGTGCTATGATCAAATGAAGGATTCAACTTGCTATCCTTTATGTGTAGCATCATGTTAGAATGTCAGAATAAATTTAGAATATGCTAAATTTGAAACAGGTCTAATTTATGAAGAAACTTTAGTGTATCGACTAACCTGGTACAATTTAATGTAACTGGAAGAGCTCAAAGATATCTTTCTGCCAGTAAGAGATACCTTTTGTAACTAATTATGTGACAAAAGATCCTGTTTGATGAAGTGTACAGCATTGCTGTATAATTCCTACCAGATATGGTAATATAAAATTTTTCTACCCTGTTAAAAATTAAATGGGGTTTATTTGTACGCAGTGGCATATGATGATGTTTTTAGATGGTAAGGCATTAGACTTTGAACCCATCCCTCTTTTGTAAACTTTGCCCCTAACCTATCATTCCTTGCCTACTTAAAGGACCACTATAGTGCCAGGAAAACACTCGTTTTCCTGGCACTATAGTGCCCTGAGGGTGCCCCCACCCTCAGGGTCCCCCTCCCGCCCGGCTCTGGAAGGGGGAAAGGGGTTTAAACTTACCTTTTTCCAGCGCTGGGCGGGGAGCTTTCCGCCTCTGATCCTCCTCTGTTCCTCCCCGTTGGCTGAATGCGCACGCGCGGCAAGAGCTGCGCGCGCATTCAGCCAGTCACATAGGAAAGCATTCACAATGCTTTCCTATGGATGCTTGCGTGCTCTCACTGTGAAAATCACAGTGAGAATCACGCAAGCGCCTCTAGAGGCTGTCAATGAGACAGCCACTAGAGGATTTGGGGGAAGGCTTTCTCTGAAACTGCTATGTTTATAAAAGAATGGGTTAAGCCTAGCTGGATCTGGCACCCAGACCACTTCATTAAGCTGAAGTGGTCTAGGTGCCTAGAGTGGTCCTTTAATATGCTAATATCTACATTCTATCAATACTATATAAAGGTTTGTTATTTATCACAGTGTCACCCAGTGGACAATATGTATATATTTTTTATTATAATTACCTATTTATTTATTTATTTATTTATATCTATTGCCTTAACACTAACACTCCAATTCGAGTGCATTATATTTCCCACGACACTTAACCAGCACATTGGCTGACTAAGTCTCATAGGGAAATGTAGTCAGCAAAAATTGCAGCACTGAAGGTAAGACATTACTCTTTGAGATCACTAATAAACATTTTGGTTACATTTCTTCTCACAAAGTCCTACCTGGCTGAGGAACGGTGCTTTTAGATTCTGCCTTGATGAGACTGCAGTGAGTAACTCTCAGGAAGGCAGAGAGTGAGGGAGGGACTCAGTGGGCCAGGGGAGGATTATCAGAGAAAGCAGGAGAGAAAGTGCAGTAATGTATTCAAAGTGTGGTACTTCTCTTAGGATTTAATCAGCTTTTTTGGGCAAACAATTACATTTCAGTCATGATTTTTTTTACTTTTACCGGCAGCAATATTGGTGCATAATGAAAGGGTAGCTAAGCTGCAACAGTAATAATTAAAAGAACAACCAGTTAGACCAAACAGACACATCTCAAAGAAATAAGGATATACTAAAAAAACCCTGAAAAAAAGAGTTTTACAGATTATTCATTCGTCTATGTTTTAATTGCAACAAAAACTGGTGTGGTGCTGCCCCATTTACACCTATGGAGGAGCCTCCGCTGTTTGTTTAATCGTTTTATCCTTTTAATGAATCCACAAAATCACCCCCTTGTCAATTTTAGCCAATCCAATGCTTTCCCCAGAGGAAAGCATTGGATTGGCTAAAAATCTGCTATTTTGATGATGTCACCAAGGGGGCAGGGCCAGCACCAGCGGACCTGTGAAGAGCTGAAAAAAGGTACGTTTTAACCCATTCTGCAGGATCTAAGGGGGGGGCAAGCCACCTAAATGGCATGGGCAAGCCACCTAAATACATGTATGTGTTCCTGACCCTATAGTGTTCCTTAAACTATCAACCATATTGTATCTTTAGCTCTGCATTTCATGTTTTTTTAATAAATGTTATATCAGTAAAGGTTATTCACTAAAGGGAGAATTCAACCTTAAGGTTAACATATTCGAACAAGAAAAATTTTCTAATTCAACTATAGTTTCAGTTTGGATGCTCTGGTCTAAAATTAGAAATTTACTTTGAGATCTCATTTTACTAAATAGCCGTATATATTTGTTTTGCAGAAAAACTACCTTGGCAGTAAAAGGGTTTTAATCTTTAACAAAGGTTGCACTATAACCTTTCTGAAACACTAATGTAAACAGAGAAACAGTTCCCCTGGTAAATTTCTCTCTGTATAATTCTTTAATCCCTTACAATCTACTGTCATTATTAAAATGGTGGTAACATTATAAATAACAAACTGCGATAAGATGTGAGTGAATATAAAAATACATTGATGTATATTTTAACCTCCTGTAGCTACAGTGATTGATTTTTCAGTACAATTTGCAATACGAATTGATGGCTCAGAAATATAAAAAGTATTGTTCTGCTTTTTTCCTTAAATCTTTGGGCTGTGTAATGTTTAATTCAACAAAAATACACAAGGTTTATCAGAAAATCAAATACGCATTTATCTGATGGCAGAGAACAAACAAAATTAATTAATAAATAAACAAACAAAAAAGGGTTTCATTAATAAAAAGGGAATTGTAGTTAACTGAAAACAAAATTGCAAAATTGAGGCTGAAATCGATGCGTTGGAATAACTGTCCAACTTATATTAGTAGCTGATCCTACCCTTTCCTCTGCTCGGTAGCAGCCTATCCTACCATTCCTTCCCAAATGTAACCCAGTCTGCCCCCTTTCCCACCCTGTAGGATCCTTTTTTTGCCCACGCCTTTACCCAGCAATTGATTCTGCTGGGTTATCACGTTGCCGATATGGAATCCATATGTAGCATTCAGTCACTGGTACAATAATTTAATGCATTAATGATTATAATATACTCACAACTGACTAAGACTGATTTACCCCTCAAAATACATGTGGGGGCAAAAGGATATAGTGACATCTACAATAGACACCAACATAGAAGACTTATGACACTATTTTTCATGTATGTAAGTGTATTGTCAGGGTTATTTACTAAAATGAGAATTCGAAGGGAATTCAAAGTGAATTTCAAACTCAAGACAGAAATAGCCAAACTAGAAAAATGATCTTAGTCAACTTTGTTTCCAGTTTGGCTGCTTTGGTTTTAAATTTGAAATTCACCTTGAATTGACTTTGCATTCTCACTTTAATGAATAATCCTGATCGTGAACTGGTGTTTACGGCAGTTATAGCACTAGCCCATTTATTGGGATAGGAAGGCGTGAATCTACAAAGTGCTTTATATCAATTTAATAACGTGAAATTATGTTTAAATGGACACTATATTCACCAGAACCAGGAGCTTATTGTAATGTTCTGGTTTTCAAATTAAGTTTTAATTGAAATATTTAACGTTTTTAAAATAATATGAACAATCAATATGGAACAAGTAGAATATTGATACAACAAACAAATGTAGTGTTCTGGTGTCTATAGTATGACTCTGCAGGCTGAACACTGTTGTTATGGAAATGAAAAACGACTAACATTTTAACACAAAATTGTGCTTTTACACCCATAATTCTCAGAACTATTAGTTCACCATTTAACTGATATTCCCTGAATAAATGCCAGTTTTAAGGACTGAAAAGGCTAATTAACAAACCCGTGTATCCAGTTCAGAGTCAGGAGGCACGGTGATGGGTAGGAAAAAGGCTGGAAGGAGCGACATGTTACTATGGTTATTGTGAAGCTGTTTTGAAGAGGTTTTGACAGTTGGTTTTTGGAGTGCTTTGGGGATAGCAGCAATGTAGCAGTACAGGGACACATGTAGCCTTATTAATATTTTCAGACTGTAAGTATGTGCTCTAGGCCCATATTTTTGTTTATCCATGGTGTTTGATCTGTCTAGAGCAGCAGAAACCTTTATATCCATTTCACCTAAGATCCTGGGACGTTAAGTATAAAACGGTATAATTTTTTTAAATATTTTTTATACTAGTGTTTAGATTAAATAGCTTGTATAGCTTGCCTTTGATATGTTTTAACTGCAACCATAGTAAATATACAATTAGCACTGCAAAAGAAAATTGTCTAGTTAGTATAACAATTACTTAGATAGAATTTGTTTGTTAATATTTGTTATATTTTCTTTAACATCTTTTTATTAAAGGATCACTATAGGGTCAGGAACACAAACATGTATTCCTGACCCTATAGTGTTAACACCACCATCTAGCCCCTCTGGGCCCCGCATGCCTCCATAAATATAGTAACAATCTTAATGTATTCAAGCCAGAAGCTGTAAATCTGCATGCTGTTAGACTCAGAAAAACAAGCAGTCTGCTGACATGTGGTAGCCTGATCCAATCACAGTGCTTCCCCATAGGATTTGCTGAGACTGACAAAGAGGCAGATCAGGGGCAGAGCCAGCATGATTCAAACACAGTCCTGGCCAATCAGCATTAAGCTGAAGTTGTTCAGGTGACTATAGTGTCCCTTTAAACATTATCTTTTGCTACACTTTGAGTGATTGTCATTTGGTCGTTACATGTTAGGATATTTCTCTGCCAAAATACCTTATGCAGCTAATGATCTAAATCATAGCTGTACAAAATAAGAGGGTTGGTTTTGAATGCTTGCAAATATATATGGGATTCCAATAACTCTATTGTTAATGTAACTAGGTGATTTCTATTGTTAGTGCAACTAGGTTACACCATGACACATAACTGGTGGCCATCTTGATGTTCTTTGAGGTACATGGTCAGCAGCCATCTTGATGCTCCTGAAAGTGTAACACAGTAGTTTTTGTGAAACCCTTTGAATTGTGCAGATGAATTCATCCAAAACCATGAACTACAACAACCGTAAACACTTACATTGCTGTCTGGTGTCACCTTTAGTGGTAGTTACTCAGACGGCCACTAGAGGTGATTACTATTTCAGTCCAGCACAGTGTGCAGCACCTGCATTCAGCATCCACACACTCTGCATGGAGACACTCAATGCTCTCAGTAGAGATACATTTATTCCGTGCATCTTTATAATAAGATGCTGGTTAGTGCATTTTGCCGTGCATGCACAAAAGCCTCCCAACGCTTCAATGTGAAAGCATTGGATTGACTGATTGATATCAGCCATGGAGGCAGGGACAAGCTCGGAGATGTTGAATAGGTAAGTAAAGCTACTGTTTAACTCCTTACTGATGGGTGCCAGGACCTAAACATGAAGTCCAACACTATAGTGTTAGAAATACATATTTTCTCCTTTAATAGCATTATAAAGATGCATAAAACATTTTCTTAATTCCCTTGTTAATTATTTGTTTAGTGAATATGATAATGGTTCAATGTTTATTTCAGGTACCAATTTAATTTTTCTTTTTATTGTGCGCAAGTGTACAAATTCTCCTGCCTTGTCACAATAACGAGTGCAAGGACATGCAATTATTATAATGAAACAGGTTACATAAAGCATGAATCTTCAGAAGTTAATACATTGCTTCATTTTGTTGCGTCGGCACATTTGTATATTATAGGAAAATACAAGAAGTATCCGTACACATCTGTAGTGAGATAGTTAGTGCCTTAATGTCATAAGTATGACCCTTGTGTTTGGGCGTGTGAGTGTGACGGTGATTATGTATCGCTCAGATGTGTGTGGTGACAAGAATTCTTTAATATGGTACATGCTTATAAGACGGGAGTATAAGAAAGGTAGAGGGACTCAAGAGAGTGCCTGGCAGCAGGCTTATCAATACGTGAGTAGCAGGTATCAGGCCCTATGGTGACATGGCCTCGTGTGAATAACATAATATAGTACATTTAGGCTATGATTGATATACAATTGCTAAACTTTGAAAAGAAAGACAAGAAAGATAATACACATTCAAACGTTGAGGGTTACTTAAGTAGTAAGCCAGTCTCAGTTGTGGTGGCTGTCGCAGGGTCTGGGCAGCGTCCTTAGCGGCAGAGGCACTGTGTGAGGACTTCTGCAATTTCTTGGGGTGTGGGTGCCCTGTCAGCCTATGACTTGCTTATGAGAGGGCTTTGTAGATGCTTGAGTGTCCCGCTGGGGCCGAGCAAGGTGGAGCGTTGTGGGTGCCGTTGTTTTTCTCGGCAGCCTGTCTCTACGAAGATCTGTGCTGATGTTGCCGGTAGGTGGTGTTTTCGTCCAGGTTGTTGGGGTGCTCTTTGGCAGTGGCTGTGCTCGGTGCTGTGTGGTAGGCCCGCTTGCTGATGGTTGTGTCATGGTTCTCTGCCGTGCGCTGGGTCTAGTGGGGGCCCTTGGCCCTTTCGAGCTGGCCTCACTGTATGGCTTGGTTGTGTCTGTTTGCGTGCGCGCGGGTGAGGCCTCCGTCTGAGGCGCCATCTTTGAGATTTTGCGTGGCTGTAGCAGGGGTCCTTGAGTTTTCTGCCAGGTGAGTTTGCCAGATCTTAGGTCTGTTGCTGTCTGCTCTCCAGGCTCGCCCAGAAGGTGTCAATTATGGCTTCAAGTTTTGCCAAGGTGAGGTGCCTTATTGTGCAGCTGCTGTGTTCACACATGGCGTCCGCCATTGTATGATTCCATGCTTTTGCGGGTGACCTGCTGGGCTCCGCTTTCTGTGCTTGGATTAGCCTTGGTGCCAGGGGGGTTGGACCGGGATCACCCCCACTGGTCCTGAGGGGGGGGGAGCGGGTATGCAATAGCTCGGTACCCCAGCATTTGGGCGAGGAGAGCGGCTGTCTCCCCTCAGCTCCGTCCACCGTAGGCTGCAGCCTGCCTTCGTCGGTTCAGGATTGCAGGAGGAACTCGGGTCTGATATCATTAGGTTCGCTAGAGTGCCCCCAGCTTGGGTAGCACCTCCCGGCATCATTTCAGGCTTAGTAGCGGTGAGTGTTCTCCATAGAAGTAGCATATATAGCGGGAGCTCCTCCGCCATGCGACCGCTCGGCTTGCAGGTAAGGCCCCGCCCCCCCAATTTAATTATTAAATACATGGGTCGCATGAAAGTACTTAAGAATAATAATCTTTAACACTCCGTATGTCAGTATATAAAGCACACATACTAAAAATTATCTTCACTTTAGCATCTTGGTTGCAATAAAATTACATAATAAATAGAGACGTTTCTCTTTTTGCAGTGAAAATAAATCAACTTTTTGATTTTCCACATTTACAGGTGTTTTGAGACTTAATGTGATGTGTCTGTCAACAGTTACTGCAGAACTTGTTCTGCTTAAATATTACATAGAAAATGCATCTGACCATAATTCTGTCTGAATGCTTTATGTAAGGTTTGGCAGTGCTAAAGAATGGGTTCAACTCTGGCCCCCAAAATTCTCATTTTCAATTTCCCTGTTGGTTTCTAGAAATAATGTCCAAGAGATCAGCTCTAGGTCACAGCTCATCCATAAATGCTGCACATAAAATCCATGTGATACTGAGTTTGAGTGAGAAATGTTATTGATTTGCTTTTTCCCAGAAACAATTCACGATTGTTTTTTTGCGGTTTTATAAATTATAAAATTATTTAATGTCTCAGGAAAGTAATGGTCCCGTGCAAGCCATAGAAATCTAGTAGCTAAGCATTAAGTCAACATTCATGTCTCCAGCTGCATTGCAAGAGATATATTCTAGATGAGAAGCGCTGCACGGATTTCCCAAGAGAAACATTCAGAGGCCTCTCATTTCATGAAGTTATTTTTGTGATATATATATATATAGACACATACCAACAATACCAGTACTTCAAGGGATCATGTCACTGAATTAGAATCTATCCAGTTTACCAGATAAAAAAAAACATACGACCAACATGAAAACCCTACAGGATTGGCCATGTTTGCTAGATCGCTGTTAGATCTCTGAGTCAAACACCTCTTCTATAAATGGAGTTAACAGTGTTCAAATTCAACAATGTTTGGGATTGTTCAATCAGTTTCTACATTAAACATTTTTAATTTAATATTTTCGATTAACTTGAAAATTAAAGGACCATTCCAATCATTGTAACCACTATAGTTTTCTGTAGTGGTCATAGTGTAAGGGACATCTAGCACCGTCCCAGGGTAAGCAGTCAAACGTCTAATGATTTGACAGGTTACCAAGGGTCTGATTGAGCTAAACTTTGCCATCCAGGGACAAACCATTGACTGAGAGTGTCAGCTGAACATTCTCAGCCAATGGGCTAAGCCCTGCATTAACGAGCTAGCTCAATGCAAACAGCTTCTGACTGCACATGAGGAGTCACCAATGCTTTAACTACTTACCCTGGGTGGGAGCCAGGGCATTTGTGATACCATAACCACTGCAGTGGCATTCCCATACTTCACTTACTACATAAAATAAGAATTTCTAAATTTCATTATTGATATAGCGATACAATACCAGCAACTCAGCAACTGAATTATATATTATATAAACACCAGCTGGATTATTCACTACATTGAATTTGTAGCAAATTAAGATTAGAATTCCCGAATTTTGACAAAATTAGAAAATGTGGGGAAAGAAAATATCTCCAACAGAACTATAGAAACAGCTTGCCAGTTTTGCCATTCAGAATTGTTCCACCTACATAAATAAATTGGAGCCATATATTAATGGAAGACATTGTTTAAACATTGAAAACAATTGTGAAAACTGGAAGTTTTAATGGAGAAACAGTGAAAACAAGTGGGGCAAAGCCAATGTTTTTTTTTTTATAAATTTAGTATGAAAATGCCTTATTTTATATTGCAAAACGAGGGTGTTTTCTATTTATTTTTTTTCCAAACGAGAATCATTGCACCAATAATGCTGTAATTCAGCTTCCGGGAATATTCCTATTCACACACAGGATGTAGTGTATATCACACTGGCTTAGATACTCGTACACGTAATTATCAACATTATTCTACATAGAAAATTCACATCTTCATGAAGGCATCCAATTAATAAAATAAAGCATTCAAAGATTTTAAATTCTGAAACATAACATATATTTACAGAAAAAAATGTTTTGTTAATTCAACAAAGAAATGTTAGATGTTATAAGATGTAATAATAGCTATCTATCATGGGCGTAAATAGAATGGCATAGTGTGCAAGTGCCCTAATCTCTTTTGCAGCATAATTTGCAAATTGTATGTGCATCTGTTTGTCGATGGGTGTGTATGTACCAATGTGTCTATCTGTATGTAAATGTGTGTATGTTCCAGTGTGTGTATCTGTGTGTCTAGGTTTGCATGTGTCAAGGTGTGTGCATATGTCAATGTCAGTGTGTTTATGTGTGTATCAGCGTGTTAATGTTTATGTATATCTGTGTAAGCATGTATGTATGTGGCAGTGCATGTGCATACATCACAGTAATCAAACATCACACCAACATAACATGAAAACACACCTCTGCACTCAAACACAAACATTACATCTAAATACAACTCTGCACTCAAACATTACATCTAAACACACCTCTGCATCAACAGTACACACAAAAGCACACCTGCATTAAAAATTCAACACTACATATGAACACACCTCTGCATTCAAACACAAACACTACACAGACATACACCACCACATTCAAATGGCAACAGAAAATAAAAATACACCACTACATGCACACACATATTCTATACAAAAACATACATTCAAACACAAACGCTGTTCACAAATACAACCCTGAAAGGATGGGCAAATAGTACATTGGCAGCTGGCATAACATTGTGGGAGTTGCATGACAGATGGGGATCTATCTTTTCGCCACTCTTGCGCTAGAGGAGCCCTTACAAAAATTTCTTGCACCAGGGCTATCTCTACATTAGTGCTTCTTTCTTCCCAACATTTGAACTAGATAAAAGAGGATACTTTAATTTTAATGGTGCGAGTGAGAGTGTGGTCAGGGGCAGGGCTTTTCTGAGAAATTTAAAGTGATTTACTAATAGCAATTTATGCAACTAAAATGTAATGTATTTTAATTTTTTATTTGAGTAACACTGTAGACTTAGAGTACTTTAGAAATTTCATTGTGAACAAATCTCAGTCAGTTACATTTTAGACACCGCTGTAGATGTTGACAGCATGTATTAGTTTGAAGTATATAATCACAAAATTTGTAGATTAAGTCAAACCAGGACATGCACAAATCTTTTAGGGGAAAAGTAATGAAAAGAAAGAAAGAACCAATGAGTGGGAGTGTGAACTAGAAAGACAAAAAGTTTGTGGGTAAACAAGGACGGCAGAATGATAACGCTTACAACATCAGCAACACCTGTATTGTCACATTTGATTCTAACGTTCTCATCGCTCATCTAACACACTTTTCCCTATTGCACTGGTAAGTGTCCTATAATGCTTAGGACTTTGAATACTTCTTAGTACAGAGAGGGAAGGTCCTCTTTTTGTAGAAATGCATCTCGCAAATTCTAAGCTTTGACAGTTACAGAGTTTGGGTTATTGCTAAGATCTATCAGCCATGTCGCTATAAATCCAAGAGTCTGTTTGGACGCATCTCGATTTACAATGTCACACAGAAACAACTTTTTTTACACAGACAAAGACCAAGCACATTTTTTCAAAAAGTATTAACATAGAGTCAGGGGGTCATAGGGATGGCATTTCCTGTGTGCTTGTTAGGAAAGACTTGAGTTGTGAGTATAAGAATAGTATGGCACTCAGCAATTTAAATTTGGTGTTAAGGTTAATGTACGATTGCAATGCCCGACTCTGGGCATTATTTGGCTTAGCCTGATACCAAACAGTCAGTGTCAGATAAGCTGTCAAAAGCAAGCACAGGGTGCCTCTTTTGTTTCAGGAACCAAAGTAAAACTAACTAATAACCATGTATGCAACTAAAAATTTAATTTATAACAAGAACAATGTGTCTTATTTACACAGACTGATTTCTAAATACATTTATTGTAGTTTAAAGACACATTACTGGGCGTGTTATTGCTGTGGAGCTCTGTTATACACTCAGATACATTACTGAGAGTATTATTACTGTGGAGCTCTGTTATACACTCAGACACATTACTGGGAGTATTTTTGCTGTGGAGCTCTGTTATACACCCAGACACATTACCGGGAGTATTATTACTGTGGAGCTCTGTTATACACTCAGACACATTACTGGGAGTATTATTGCTGTGGAGCTCTGTTATACACCCAGACACATTACTGAGAGTATTATTACCGTGGAGCTCTGTTATACACTCAGACACACTAACAATATGGAGCTCGTAGAAAAGAGGGACATTAGGACAGAAAAGAGGGACAGAGGGATTTGGGACTAAATTAGGGACTGCCACTCCTAAATACGGACACTTGGGAGGTATAGTAGATAAGTGGTTGATTGTGGTGTTAAGTTAGTTTTGCTTAGCATTGCATCCAATATGGGCACAAACATGTGTACACATTGCTACTGGTTAGTAGCAGAATTCCACTACCAGTGTACGGTCTTTGGAGTGAAGGAATTAGGTTTAAAATATCACATCATTATCTGCTATACATAGTATATATTGTAACTCCAGATAAGAAACAATAGGATCATTTATTTTACCTATAAATCTGTTTACATTCTCTCAAGAAAAATTGAAGAGTGCATTTAATGAGCAAATTGTTGTGAATTCATAACTAAATTAAAAATGATAAAAAAAAAGTGCTTATCAAACACATGGTGATTAAAGAGATGCAACTCAGCTTGAAGTCATCAGTGAAGCTAATCTGGGAAGGAATTCCGCTTGCCAGTAATAATTCGTGTCCATATGAATAATGCATAACTCATTGTTGTTTGTACAAAGTCCCAATTACACATTCCGGCAAAAAAGTGTAGCTTTGACAGAGAGGATATTCTCAGGATCCAAAACATCATCTAAGGGATTTCCAAAATGTAAAAAGCAGATCAAGATTGTCTAAGAGATACATTTTCCGAATAGGATATCTCCAATCTTTGCAGCA